TGTTGAGGAGCTGGAGCTTGGCATTGTCGAGACGTATACCATTTTGTGGAAGATTTTGCGGCTCAAGCCGATGATTTGGATGGTATTTGTTCTGCTGACCGGAAAGGTAAATCATTGTACTACTGCCACTCTGCTTGCGAGCAGGACAGCTACAAAAATCTAACTGCATATGTTCTATCACTCGTTTGGGCAAGGCGTATAAAACTGATGCAGACAATGATAAATGGGCTCACGGATCTCTGAGGATGGGCCAGATATTCAAGCATTCCTTGTAAACTCATTCTGCATGCTTGTTAGGACGTGAACGCATCGCAGCGTCGGTTTCCGCGCTGATTGTCCTGGCGATCTCGGTAATCGCGATAACTCTTGTGAAAGCTAGCCTGGTGCTGCTTAAGTCAGCTTCTTTGTCGGATAGCTGCCCAGCTCTTTTGGAAGTAGAGGGGTTCAGTTTCCCATTATTAACAAAAAAATGCTTTGTGTTGGATGCATCTTTTACCGCTAGTGCGGTCCCCTGGTATCTGAACATCAGTATATATAGCCCGTACTGACGGTGGCGAATATTTACCAAGGCGCTAGGAGAAAGCAGTTGGGGGAAATTTGAGCAGAATGCTGAGTTCTGGAGAATGCAGCTGACTAGTGCATGCATGAAGTTTTTTGGAGCATTCAAAGATCCTGATTGTTACAGTTCGCTTTTGCGGCAACGGATGGCATTACGGGTTTAAAATTGATTGGCATGGGAATGCCGAAGGATAAGCTTTCCAGTATGGCCATATTTCTCACACCGCTACAAGTCAGTGCTTTTTTTTTGACACATCTGACCTAAAATTTACCAACTTACTGTAGTAGTAGTTGTTGTTATTGTTCATGTGTTTTTGATAGTGTGTTTCAGATCCTCCTGCCATGGGCAATTGGCAAATATACTTCTGGCCCGCGACCACTGAATGTTTTCCTTCTTGCTTATCCTTATAGGTGAGTTCCATTCCCTGCTTTTTGTTCCTTGATTTTTCCTGTACAATTTTGGGAGCGTTTTGTTTGCTTATGGCAGTTCCCAAATTTATTGCGTGTGCAGGGATAAAGAATGATGCGCCGCGCGTGTTTCCTGCGAATTGTTTCGTGAGGCCTACTCAGTTGTTTTTTTTTTATATATATTTTTATTTTTAAGCAAACGAGCACTGTCAGCCAGTTTATGACATATAGATTTGAACCTGTGATGAGAATTTTCATATCTGCTTTGATGATAAATAAGATGAAACTGTAAATACATTCTTCATTTCTCGTTATGCGTTTTGTGCTGTGTAACAGCATTATAAAACGCATATTGTCACGGGTTTGCCTGTGTGTGTGTGTGTGCGTGTGTGTGTGTGTGGGTGGGTGGGTGTGTGTGTGTCCCCCACATTTTGTCTTGCACTTTCAACTCGGAAACCACAAAAGCTGGGCGGCTGAAATTTTGGTATAGTGTTCCCCGCCAGCGGATGACGCGGCAAATTGAAATTCAGCCTTTCCCGTACCCGCGGGTAACACGTACGGCCCCGTAAAATTTTTTTACTGGTAAATTAGCATCTCAGGAACCACGGAGTTTAGGAGGCTGAAGTTTTAGGGTAATGACCCCCGCCCACGCTCAACCTTGCCCATTCAAATCCAGCGTTCCCGCGCTCTCGGGTATCACCTACGGGCTAGTGAAAGTTTTTACAGGTAAATTATTATCTTGGAAACCACGGGGTCTAAAAAGCTGAAATTTTAGGGTAACAACTCCCTGCCCACGCTCAACTTTGCCTGTTCAAATTCAGTGTTCCCTCGCTCTTGAGTATCACCTATGGCCTCGTGGGAATTTTGGCGGGTAAATTATTAATTCGGGGTCACGAAAGATATTCACCCTTCAAGGTTTCGAATTCAGCTTTCATGCGCTGGTGCGTGAAATTTTCAACTAGTTTCCAATGCTTGAACTACTTTTGCATAGACAAAAGTACAAAGCAGTGAAAATTATTAATAGGCAATCGTCCGATGGGCTGAATTGCACAAAACGCATGATCGCACCGGCTAGTCTAGTGCGCGTTGATATTTATTTTGATTTTATATTTTGGAAGCTACATGCGTGGGTCATCTGACCCCACGTAAGATTGCTGCCGAAAACGAGCTCGGCCTTTGCAATCAGAGCGTGCTCGAATCGCTCGATAGCCCGATCCGTAGCCAGTTGGCGTTGTTCCACGCCCAGATACTTATAGGCTTCGGTGGGGGCCAACATTGGCAAGTCTGTTCCACTACCTGCACCTTCTTCCAAATCCAGATCCTGCCTTGCGTGCGGATCATAGTGGACTTGCGCACTCTTCCCCACGTTTATAGCCATACCGGCAGCCGTAGCTAACTTCTTTACCACCTCAGTTTGGCGACCAAATCCCTGGGATTCCGTGCATATAGCTTAAGGTCATCCATGTAAAATTGATGGCCCAGGCGGAATCCGGAACCTTTTAACCACCCCGAAAATGACTTTAGGGGAGGGACCGAGTCATTGAGGGCATAGCTGAGTGGTGCAATAGCAAGGATGAACAATGTCGGCGAAAGGGTATCTCCTTGAAAGATACCACGAACCACCTTCAGCAGTGGGCTCTGGACTAGTCCTCTGGGCTTTCGGAGCTCGTATCGCGTACTACAACAGCTCATGAGCCGCTGTAAGATCCGGAGGATCTTAAGAGGAGTACAGATTGACTTAAGTACCCATAGAAGGTAACAATGGGATACCGAGTTGAAGGCCTTTTGGATGTCGACCCAGGCCATACTGAGGGGTTTTTTGATTTGCGACGTTGTGTCCAGCACCACTGCCTGGTTTAGCACGTGGGTATGAGTGCAGTTCCATTCCCCCTTACGCATTGCTGTCTGGTTGTCCAGAATCGCACTGCCCTTCTGGACGTAATCTATGAGAGCTTGGTCCTATTGGGTGCAGTGATCGCTGCCCAACCCGTACGATCAAATCTTCGGTAGGGCCTAGATCGTATGGTCAAACCTCCGGGGATTTCGTGCGGTGACGCTGCCACCTCCTCGAGGTCAGGATTGGTAATCCCGCACTGCCGCGTTAAAGTCCCGAGCAACGGGGCTCGTGGGCTGCTCTAGAACGTTCGCGAACATAAAGGCCGGCAACTCCGTAACAGTGGTGGTGGTCCGGCTCTGTAGTGCAGGCTACGTGAGTCGCGTCCACACACATGTGCTATGGGTATCGGCGACACATATTAACTATACAAACCCCGCACATTACACGTATAAGCATGGCCTTGGCCAAAATACATAAAAGCAATACACATATAAGACGCATATCACCAAGGCGCGATAGTACGGGGGCCAAGCGCAGCAGGCGTCCGTTGGGTTCGTAAAGCACTAACATCAGCCACCCAGGCTACAACCCAACGTAAACAGTCCTGGTTCTGTGGCTGCAGGTGGAAGCTACGGGGAAAACTTAACCTCTCTGGGCGAAACGAACGTTGCCCAAGCCATATGGCTAAAGCCTCGGCGAAGCCACGTGGTAGTGCTGTCACAACAAAACCCTGCCTGCCTTACGGCCACTACAAGCCACGCGTCTCATCCCCTCCCTCCCCCCTCCCTCCTGTCTCCAAAGCCGTCGATTGTTCTCAAATGGGCCGTCGATTGATCTTGATGGGCCGTCGATTGTTCTTGAAAACACTGGGAAAAGGCTAGCGAGGTACTCGGTGGCACTGCTGGCCGGCTTCGTAGCAG